AAGCTCTCTTTTACATTTATTTTGAGTTTAAATTCTAATATTATGTATGAGTTTGTATGGGTATATTTTCTACTTTTAGTTGAATTATGATTTATATCGATTTAGTTGTAATTATAGTTTTTCTGGACATATTATTTTGTGATTGTCCTTGTAATTACAATTGTAAACCTAAACAAATGTATAGTGGGACTATTACATATAATATAAGGACGATTTGCCTTATTTGATAAAAATTTAAGTAAAAACTAAAAAATTGTCTGAGCCATGGTTTGAACCGGAGACCCTTAGGTGGCGTTTGGTTCGCTTGAATGTTCATGAGAGAATTGAAATCTGTGAAGGAATTGGAATATGAATCTGAAACCGGGGACCCTTAGGTGGCGTTTGGTTCGCTGGAATGTTCCTGAGGGAATTGGAATCTGAATGAATTGCAATTTGAATCTGAAATCTGTTTGGTTGGCATGAAATTGAATTGGAATCCAATTCCATATTCTATTTGGATCGCAGACATGTCAGATGAATTTTATTTCAGTAATGTAAAATGATAGAATTGCCCTTCTTGTTTTTTTGCTTAATTTTAGTTTGTTTTATAACTTACATGTAACAATATATTATAAAAATTTTAAAAATATTAAACTTTCATTTTATTGATTGATTATTCATTTCAATAAATTATAAAAATTATACTAATAAAAATCATAAGTTAAAATCATCCTAATTAGGGATGACCATGAGTTGGGTTAGGTCGGGTTTTTGGTCCACCAAACCCGACCCGAGAACAAGGGAACCTCCACCCGATACCTGACCCGGCCAAAATAAAGTTTCACCCGATCCGACCCGAATATATGAATTAGAAACCCGACCCAACCAGAGATAATAAAAAAATATTTTATTCAATAAAAATAGTGACTTAATTAAAAAAAATTATATATAGAGGGGTATTATTGTAATTATTCCTAAATATATAAGGTAAAATTATATATTTTTTCGGGTCGGGTCATGTATTTTTCACCCTAAACCCGAACCCGACCCGAATATCACACTTAAAAAACCCGACCCGAATATCACAATTAAAAAAACCCGACCCAACCCGAACCCGAACCCGATTTTTTTTATAAAAAAAAATCCGACCCGATCCCAATTTTTTTTTAAAAAAAAATCCCACCTGACCCGAATATCACACTTTAAAAAACCCGACCGACCCGAATATCACACTTAAAAAAACCTAACCCGACCCTGAAATTTTTAAAAAAAATCCGACCCAATCCTAAAATTTTTTATAAAAAATCCGACCCGAATACCAAAAGATTGATGAGGGTAGTATGGTCAAATTTCACATTCCCTCCTCCAAAGGATTTCAATTTCATCATGTTATGGATGTAATTTACTTTCTCTCCTTTGATAGAATTGTATTCCAATTATCTCTTTGAAAACTTGAATCAAACATGAGAAATTAGTTGAATTGAATTCCAATTCTCCCTAATTCTAAGGGATTCCAACGAACTAAATGCCACCTTAGTGTGTGAGGCTAACGTGATGACCAAATACACCGCCCGGACGATTAAACTTGATTTTGGTAACAAAAAAACTAATCTATATCTTATTTTAGTTTAATTCGACCTAAAATTGGAAATTGAAGTGTCTGAGCCATGGTTTGAATCGGGGACCTTTACTATGTGAGGCTAACGTCATAACCAACTCACCACCAAGAGAATTTAATTTTGGTTTGGAGCTAGTCAAATGCAGCTGCACCAAAGCAAAAGGTTGTTTCGCATATGAAGAAGAATACTCGTTGGGGTTAAAAGCAGAGAGCGTAGATGAATCGAGTTTTTCATTGGTTTATTTTTAAGGTATTTATGTTTAATTTATGTTTGTTTAAATTTTTAATATCGTATTTATGTTTATTATTTTTTTAAGGTGTTCGTATTCGGTTTGTTTAAATTTGCGAATATATTTGTCAATATACCCGATTAGGCAGTGGTGGTACTCAATATTATCTTTCTGGAGGGTTGTTTTTAATATATATATATATATATATATATATATATAATACCTTTGTCAATGCAATTATTTATCAAAATATTATACTAATAAAAGAAAATTTTACAAATTCTTAAAATTCATTTGTTCACATAAAAAATTTAAAGAAATAAAATACATCAATAATAAACTATTAGTGTCCCTAAGTTTTTATTTTTAAAAATGCAAATTCATAAACCCACATAATAAATATAGATATTTAAAATAAAATCATAAATAAAAATTAAAAAATAATACTTCAATTAAAATAAAATTGAAAATTGATAACTTAATTGAAATTCTCAACTCAAAAAGGAAAAACAACCAAACACAGAAATGCACAAAGAATATTTTTATATCATGAAATAAAAAATGACAAGAAAAATGGATTTCACTCATTTAAAAATAAAATAATAATACAAAAATGATTGTTAACTGTTTTTTAATAAACAATATTTAATTATTTTTCAATTCTAAAATAATATATATTATTAAAATTATTAAATTTAATAACTTATACACGTCTTTATGAAACCAAACTATATAATTTAATATATATATATATATATATATATATATTATGTGTATAAATATATAATATATATTATTTTTATATTTTTATATAAATATATAATATATTTTTTAATAAAAATTTTGTTTGGGGTTGCCCCTCTCTTGTCCCTTAAGCCTACGTCATTTCATTTAAGGTTTATCAACATGTTCTTTTAGGGTTTGTTAATATGTTCGTTTAAAGTTTATTAACATATTCGTTAACATGTTCATTTTCAACATATTCATTTAGCGTTTGTAAAAAACATTGTTTATATGTTCATAAATGGTAAAATTATACCACTAATCTCCTTAGATTTCACAATTTGGAGTTCAAAATTCACATTGTGTTTAATTTGATCCCTACCTTCACCTATATTTAAAATATAAAAAATACACGTAAAATGAGAATTGGATAAATGAGCACATAAATGAGTTAATAAAGAAACTTGATCACAAACATAAATGAACCATACACACCGATTAATATTACAAGACCTTGTGAAAAATAGTTAGTATGTTAAAATAGTAAGTTAAATGGTTGGCATGTTATATATGTTTTACAGAATTCCATTATAAAATGTACTTTGTATCTTGGTAATATGTTACTGCATTTTAACATATCAATAGCCATTTAACTTGGATATGGCTCTACTAGCATCTTCCTTATTCACAATGGTGACAAAACCAAGTCTCATACAAATTCCACTTGTCCGATGCAGCACAACATGAACCCCACTCACCTTACTGAATGACTAAAAAAATTATCTTCAATGATCATATCTCATAGCAGATCAACATGTTTTCTTTGACTGACTGAGTATAAAGACCATTATGCCTAAAAATAAATTCAGACTTCAAAGGAAGAATTATGTTAATCCTTCTTAATAAACGATGTTTCTCTCATTTTCATCTGACTCCATCATTACTATACACCATGCTTAAGGTTGTATAAAGACTTTCGTAATCTACATATCAATGACTTACCATCTAATCCAACTTAAATTACAATATGTCGACTCTTTCCATTAAGTCCCCACTGAGGAATACCATCGAGTACTCAATTACTGGAAAGAGTTATACCCAATAAAATTTTAACAAAAAATACTTTAACCACAAGACTATAAATATTATACAAGTCAAAATTAGTTAGGGGCAGATGTATTAATTTTCCTAAAGGGTCAAGTACATCTTATTATTTCGATTTTTTTTTAAATGATCTAATGTATTAAGAAGAGGAGAGAGAAAAATAAAGAAGTTTGCATATTCAATTTTTTTAAAAAAATGAGTGTATTAGAATTATGGACCCTATTTTTTAATTTTTAGATCTATCCCAGTTATCAATCGAATCTTCTTTTAAATGATACTTCCGTCAATATTATATTTAATTTTAACATGTATCGATTGAATTAATAAACCACATTTTATTATCAATTGAATGTTTTATTTTTGTATTGCAATTTGAGCCGCCGCTTTGTACCATTCTTAATCCATGACTGATGATTCCCCCAATTCCCAAATAATGCGAGGGTAAACCCAATACTCGCACATCTTCACGTGTGTGAATCACGTGCTCTACCCGAGACCATTCTAAATCTGCACCCAAATTGGTAAGATGTAATAAAAAGAGAAAAAAAAAGGAAAAAAGGCTTAATTTCCAAATAAGTGTCCAAACTATCCCTTTTATGTTAAATAAGTGCCAAATAAGTGCCCACGGTTTTTTTTGTCCATCCAGGTGTCTAATGTTTGTAACATTGCCCTTTTAAGTATCCAGTTCGTCAACGTCGTTAGTTTTTCCTGTTAAGTGACACGTGTCAACACCTGGTAATTTTTAAAACTTTATATAAAATTTTTAAAAATAAAATTATATATTTAAAAAAAAGAAAAAACATAAATTTTGAAATAACCCCTAAACTTTGAAAACTTTAACTTCAACCTCTAAATCCATGTTGATCGCCGCCCTTTACCGTCGAAGAAGCTCCACCTGACCTTCCCTCTCCCGGTGACTATAACCCCTATGAAATCGTGACCGGTTGACGATCAATCGACCACAAATCGACATTTTAAATCTCACAAACTATAGGATGAAAATCGTGATCCCATGTGATTTCAATGGTGAATCAGTGACAACTACGATAATATATAACAAGTATGATGTCAAGTACTACGTCGGTGACGGTTGTGGCCGAAGAAGGCGTCGACAGAGGATTAATGTTAGGATTTAATATTTTGGGGTTATTTTATAATATTAGAAAAGTTAGAGTTTTTTATAAACATAAAAATATTTTTAATATTTTTTATAAAAAATTAATTTTAAAATTACCAGTATTGACATGTGATACTTAATGAAAAACTAACGGCATTGATGATTTAAGTATCTAAAAGGATAATATTTATAAGGTAAAAAAAATATAGGCACTTCTTTGAAGGAAAAAAAAGCATAGTTTGGGCATTAAGCCCCCAAAAAAAAATCCCTTGATTTAGAAGTTTCTATTTCCGTTTGAAGTATCATCGTCGCGAAGAATTAACACCCAAGAATCTGATTATTCCCGGAAAATCACTGACAATTTGACGGACTCTCTTGCGATCTCAAAGGAAAGATGAAGAAAGAGGACACAGTGAAACTCATCAGCGCTGAGGGGATGGAATTTGTTATCGACAAGGAAGCTGCCATGGTTTCTCAAACCATCCGTAACATGCTTACTTCTCCAGGTCTAATTATCTTTTCATTTCTTGTTATTTGATCTTTCTGGGCAATTGGGTTTTCTGGGTTCTTGCTTTTTTTTATTGGAAAAGCCTAATTTTGGACTTTTTTTTCTGTTTTGGGTGATGATGAAGGTGGTTTTGCGGAGGCGGAGCATGGGGAAGTGACTTTTCCGGAGATAAGTGCTGTGATTCTTGAGAAGATATGCCAGTATTTTTATTGGTCTCTTCAATATGCCAGGTTTGGGTTTTGTTTATTCTTGATTGTTCTTTTAGTCTTACGAGCTTCGATCCATGTCTGTTTTGGTGTCTTTTGGAAAGAAAAGTCCATGAATTGCAGCTTTATTCAATTGGTTGTTTTTTTCCTCTAGGAAAGTTCTTTGTATTGATTATATTGGAAGTGAATTATCAAATTATACAGTGGAATACTTTCATTGTTCTTATTAGGAACCAAATATAGTGTTCTAATGAAGTCATTGACAATTCATAGTGGCTCCTTCTGTTTGAGAGGAGTTGTAATTAAAATGGGAATCAAGAGACAAATGTTTCATTGCTATATGCTATAAAAAAGATTTGTCAATGAATTGTCTGGAAATGGAATGGAGAGAGGATGGAAAGTTTGTTATTCAAATTGTTGAGATTTATGATCACTTTCTTACTTCGTAGCTTAACCATTAGATTAACAAATTTTTCATCTTCACTCCTTTCCATCCTTTGTACCAAGTAGACCCTAAATATTTTCCAAAGATAGGAAGTTTTCTGAACATCTCTTTAACCACGGTATGGTATTTTAACAACTAATGAAATTCTTTAAACTCATCAAACTTAGTCTCTTATGCAAGAGCTATCAACTGGCTTTTTTTACTTTTGTTGCGAGCTCTTCCAATTTTTGTTTTAAGTTGAAAAGAAAAAGGATATAATTTTCCCAGGGGCAAAGAGACTGAGTTCCACATTGAACCTGAACTGACGCTGGAGCTGATGATGGCTGCTAATTATCTCCATACATAGCGATCTACTTTCCTTTATTATTAGGTAAAATGTTCTAGTTAACGCTGTGGAGCTTTTTGGTGCGCAAATGTTATCATTTCTGATTGTTTTTAGTTTGTCAATCTTTTGATTCAGCAATGGATTGGTTATTATTATTTCTGTACCAGTGTCGTTTTCAAGTTATCATCTGTCTCCTTTGTGTCTACCTTGCAGAAAGTACTCTGGCTTGGTGTTCTTGCCCGAGAGGAGTATCTATGTTGTGCGCGGTTTAGCTCTCTGCTGCAATGCATAGTGGTATATCTAAAACTATCTTATGTGATTGTTTTGACTTGGAACATAGACTGTTGTAGGCAAATGACAGCAGTTAATGCTAGACGTGTTATTGATTCTATACACTGAAATCACAATTTTAGACTACGAATGTTTATCGACTAATTGTATGTTTAGTTCAATGGATTTCCTTGTATGTTTTGTTGAATGGCTTTCCTTGTATGTTTTTCTTTTTATGGTATCGTATAACCTCGTATAGTTGTGCTACAGTGCAGGACCTTTTTGCTGCTTGAATTATATGATAAGCCTTCCGAAAGGCTATGTTACATTTTTCTTGAAGTATCCATGTTAGACACCCTTGTTGGACACATCCAAACATTGGTATAACTAAATGGTGTTTGGGAGTTTTACCTGCGCCTCGAACTGGTCATAATGCCTTGATTAAACATTTGAATTAGACGCTATTTTCTTATGAGATCTTTATGATGCAAAATAGGCCATAGGATAGGATAATGGTTGCAATATTGAGATCGAATACCAATCCTTTCAAATGTTGTCTTTAAGTAACAAATGCTTGAATCGTCGGATCTAAGGTCCAGGCTCAAATTTGCATGATGATTGAATTTAAAAGGAAAATGAGATTCTTTCACAATATTAAGAAAAATGAAACAGAAACTGGAAGTTGAAGTATTGCATCATCTCATTATTCCTCATATTCAGCTTCCTCTTCCTCATACTCTTCTTCATCGTCAGCTGTTGCATCTTGGTACTGCTGATACTCTCAGACCAAATCATTATTACTCTTCCTCATACTCTTAATTATTCCTCATATTCAGCTTCCTCTTCGTCATACTCTTCTTCATCCATGCCTTCACCTGTATACCAATGCAAGAAAACCTTCCTCCTAAACATAGCCGTAAACTGCTCGCTCACATGCCTAAACATCTCCTGTATCGATGTTGAATTCGCGATGAATGTCGATGCCATCTTGAGACCAGTTGTGGGATCTCACACCGTCGATTTCACATTGTTCGGAATCCATTCAACAAAGTAGGATGAGTTCCGGTTTTGAACATTCAACATCTGCTCATCCACTTCCTAGGTACTTGTTTTACCACGGAACATAGCCGATGCAGTCAAGTACCGGCCGTGTCGTGGGTCGGCTGCATACATCATGTTCTTTGCGTCCCACATTTGTTGAGTGAGCTCCGGAATGGGTTAGAACTCGGTATTGTTGGGATCCTCTAGAAGTGAGTGGTGCAAAGCTCAAACAAGTTTTTTTTAGATTAAAATAATTCTCTGTTACCTTGAAGACAATCGCAATTTTCAGCTTCTTTTCGAACAACATCAAGGACGGAGTCCATTAACTCAGCACCTTCAATGTAATGGCCTTTAGCCCAGTTGTTACCAGCACCAGACTGACCGAAAACGAAGTTGTCCGGTCGGAAAATATGTCCAATGGGACCGGATCTGATGCTGTCCATGGTACCAGTCTCAAGGTCCATAAGGACGGCACGAGGAACAAATCTACCACCACTGGCTTCATTTTAGTAGATATTGATCCTGTCGAGCTGAAGATCTGAGTCTCCATTGTAACGCCCAGTTGGACTTGGATCTATGCCGTGTTCGGCGCATACAACTTCCCAGAACTTGGCTCCGATTTTGTTGCCGCATTGGCCACGTTGAATATGAAGGATTTCACGCATTTTTGTTGGTCACCGGGAGGTTTCTTCAGGTTGAAGATGATGAGGGTGATTTAAGATTGCATTATTAGGAAGGTATTACAATGGGATTCTAATGGAAGAGCTGAGCTGTTCTTCACTGTATTAATTATTATTTTTTAGCCAATGGCTTTTCCTACATTTTTCAGTTTATGAGGCTGGCTTGCTGGTTCGTTACCACGGAATTTTGTACCGGCTATGAAAGATGCCTACTAAGAGATAATATACTAGATTTTTATAAATTTAATTACGTGATGTTATTTAAATAATATTTAATATGTATTTGAACATAAAAAATCATTATTAAAAAACGTAATTATTTTTTATAACAATCAATATTTTATCTATTGGTTGACTAATCTGAATAGAATAATGTAGGAATAAAGACAACTCTCCAAATTCTATATATTCCATTCGTCAACACCGAATTGAAAATATAATTGTATTATATCAATTAATAATTATATTTTTATATAATTATTGTATGATGTGAAAACACAAATATTCTAATAATTGGAATCATACCATGTAAGTGAATTATAAGGGAGAAACAATTATTCATCAAGAGAGCCTGTATTACCCCCATGTTTTTAAACTGAGCATGGCTAAACAATTTGCCAATGTCTGACACAGGCTAAAGACTTAACCCAGTTTACTTTGCTTAATCCAAATCTCTCCAGATCGGCCCATAAGCGAAATGGAAAATTTCCCTTAAACTTGGAGATCAATCGTTACCACCGGAGATGTCATGCTTAAAACATTAGACAAATTAGGTAAAATTGAGTGATTACATTTGTATTTTACCCAACAATATATATATATAGTGTTACCATCAATACATTCTCGAATTCATTGTAGCCATCAAATACTCAACATAATTAACTAGAACATATTAAATTGCAACAGAAATGAATACAAACAAGAACAAAATATGCAACAAATATTTATGACTTATCATCCATCGATACTAAACTACTTGATGTCTAGCTACCAAGTTAAAACTCAAAATAGAACTCTGATGGAACTTGGAAGCGCTAATAGCACAAACATGAATGCCCCATTTCACTAAACCAAGACAACCAAATCCATACCACAATCAAATTAAACTTCTGGTTTACTCTCATCTTCATCCTATTCAATCTTGGGTGCCAAATATAACCTAATATAGCCCATCTCATCTATCTTGTACTCAACCACAACTGGCAATTCCGAAGACAAGCTGATTGTCACAGTACTTGACAATGGAGTAGCCTTTGTAAATGAGTTCATGTACCTCAATGCGAATGTCAAAGAAACCGGCTCATTCATCTCTATGATTGTTGCTTCTTCTGGCTGCAAAGTGTTTTATAAAAAAAACTTCAACAAGACACCAAATTAATCAACTTAGATTGTATAGAATTACCCAGATTCAAGCAAATCACATTGCTTTTAGGAAAAGAATTGATGTGATCTCAATCAGCCCTGACTTTCGTCTTGATCTGATTAAATCATTGAAGTTCACCAAGGCTGATTTAAAGAGAGTTTTACCTTACTTCATCCTATATCTGCTCATTTATGCACTATATTTTATCATATGTTTGTATTTATCTCTTAGGATATGATTATCATATGATATCATTCATTGCATGAATTTGCATGAGTTTTATTAGTTGCAAGACATTAATTGCATTTAATAAGTGTGCTTTTCATTTAAGCATGCATTGCATTTAAAGCATCTAGTTCATTTAGGGAAGTAGTTCATTTATGCATATTTAGATCATTTAGTAAACTACTTCATTCATGCACCTAGTTCATTGAATAAAATTAATTCATTAATTAAACTAGTTATTCATCAAACTAGTTCATTTACTAGACTAACTCTTAATTGTTTCATGCATGTTTTCAATTAAAGATTGAATAAAATTCACCTGTGTCTAGATACATGAGAGAAGTTGAACGGTTTCAACATATGAAATAATATCTGTCAGAATATTTTCTAATTCTGGATGTGATACAGACGTTTTTGGGTCCATAAATCAATTGGAAAGTATTCTTCAATCTCTTAGCTTTCCAACGCCTTTTGAATCACCTCAATCCGATATCGGGAGCTTGAGATATGATTGATTTACTAAAGATAGTGCACGCTGGAATTTTCATTACGGGAATTTTATACACTGATGATTTGGATGAGTTTGAGCCAAGGAAGACTCATTTAATCTTCTACCAAGAGACAAGCAATTGATGGCCATCTTAATTAACCAATTCAAGGCATTCAAGATTGATATTATCTCCCATTGAAGGTCATTCATGTTCAAGCAAGGGGACGTGCAATAACCAACATTCAAAACTTAGGATTCAAGGCCTTTATCATCTTTTGAAGGTTGATCATATTCTACAAGGGAACAAGCAATGAAGGCTGATTTTGTTTCATTTAACCACCAAATTAAGTGATAAAATCAATAAGGAATTTGAAGAGACAAGTTGATTTGGGGATGTCCACATTTATGCTATAACTTCATTTATCCTCTTTTCTTCCATTTGCAAGCAAAACAAGGCAGTCCAAGAGTCACCCCTCCTTTTTGGACGAATTTAAGGATAGAATTACCTCAAATTAAAGCTTAATTCATCCATTTTCAATCTACATAATTTTCCATCAAAGGATAAGAAGAATGACAAGTCATTTAATTGAATTCAATTGATTTAGGTGATTGTTTATTTTAATTGTAAAAACTCTTCATATAGTGCCTATAAACACTATAAATAGGCACCTCAATGGCATTAGTACTTAAAACTTTTTGCATAATAAACTCTCTGAAATGTTGCTTTCATTTTAGTTCTTGGATTAGAACTTTATTGGTTTCTTGTCAGTTTTAAAGCCTTTTCCATTTCATTTTATTATAATGTTGATTCCTAGCTCACCTATAGCTAGTGGGTCACGTTCCATCCTCTTCCACCTCGATTCCATCATATTATATTGTTGGTTCTTAGCTATATATAACTAACGAGTCACAATCCATCATTTTTCTATATTCCTCCTCGCCAACTACAACCATCCTTCACCATTTTCGTTACATCCATTCAACCATTATAACCACCACACTTCTTTCATTTGAAAACCACTTTAAATCCATCCACATTCTTTTCAATTTCATTCTTTATTTGTTTATCTCATATTCACAACGTTAATTTTGCACTTTCAGAATCATTTCAAGCATTGCGGGGTTCTTTACAAGAATCATGATCAGGAAACAACGTATATGACACGAAACACATAATCGATATCATATCATTTGGTATCATAACGTAGGTTGGTTCAGTAAGATTGTAGTTTTCTCTCTCCCGAGTTAGTAAAAAAGAAAAAATTGAAAAAATAAAAAATAAAAAATTTAAAGAAGGCATGAGCAGTTCTTTTCATCTTTGAAAAAAATAATTAAGAAGGTTTCGTATTCGTTTCATCGCTTCTTTTATTATCTTTACAATTTCATTGTCTATTCTCATCTTCGTTTTTTCTTATAGCCAATTATTTCCTTACTCACATCATTTTTCCAACAAAGCCCCAATTGTTTCAGCCGAAGTCTACGAGACGCCTTGTAAACCTCGAGGGAGTTCCACAAGAACTTTAAAGGAAAGCAATAGCGGTAAAAGGCAAGAGACATTAAGGGTAAAAGCCATCCCGAGTGAAACACGAGAGGAGAAACTTTTCCTTGGAGTGTATTGGTGAGATTTTATTGGTGAGGATTTAAATCTTGTTATTTACTAACTATGTCTCAATAATCGAGAGATAATTCTCATGTTTTAGGAAAAGGTGACAACAAAAGTTACGGTGTTGCACCTAAATTACAAACGCAAACAATGATTCATGAGTTGTCAAGATTATGGAGGGAAGAAATAAGAACCATTTCAAGAGAAAGAAATATTGTAAAAAGATTATGGAGGGAAGAAATAAGAACCATGAAAAGATGACATAGTTTCTCAATCGAAGGAGTACATGTCAAAAGAGAATACTACTCCAACTAAATGCAACTTATATCCATATTTTAGATGCTATCATTGCTTGCGAAAAGGGCACACACCTAGTCATTGTCAAAATTGGAGTGCTAAAAAGCCTAAAGGCATTTATAAAGTCATCGCCAATTGTAAACCAAGAGAAGAAATCAATGTAGAGGCGATTGAACAAGTTAACCGAAGCCAAGATGAGAGCAAAGTTACAACCGTTGTAGATTCGAGAGATGAGATCTATTTGGAGATAAGTAAGTATGATCTTCCTTTAATTTGTACCACCAATGTTGGAATTGTTCCTAGTGCAAGCAAAGGTGTAAATATGTTTACATCAGAGGAAGAATCTAACTTCAAAGAGGAAAGCAACATAGAGTCTTCCACTGAAGGATATTTCTCAACAGGTCAATCCACAACCATTTGCAACGTCAATGATGAAAATGTTTGTTGTGTGCCCAAAGGCAAAGGCGAAGATGTGTCAAGAGCTATTCTTGAAATTAGTTACTGCACCAATGAACAAATAAAAAAAGGGCATTTGCATGAAAGGAAAAAAGTGGAAAAATGAAAAGAATGAAATTGAGAGAGTGGATGAAAGAAATGCTGGAATTGAAAATAAGTGTAGAAAAGAAAAAGAAAGTGGAGAACAGATTTTACCTAACAACTCTTCTTCTCCTATTATTTATCTTGTTTTGCAGGACAATCTAAGAGAAATCTTTTTCAAGAAGATGAGTCAAGAATCATGACTTTTGGAGAACTAAAGGACGTGTCATTTGAATCATCAATAGACATGACTTTTGGATACTCACAGGACAAGTCACTTGATGTTACAAGAGTTAAGCTATTGAAGTTCTAAAGAATGTCACTTGAAGTCCTAATAGTTGTGTTCGTTGACATTCCAAGAGCAATGCTAAGCTTGAAAAACATTCAGCAACCAACACCCATTAAATACCCACCATGGTTAGTTATTTTCATTCATTCTATTAATTACTTTTCATTTTCTAATTTTGGTTTATTTTGCACCAAAATAATTCATGTGCTTGGAGTTATCTTACCTACCTATGAGGACAAGTTCCATTTTCATTTGGAGGAAGATTGTCCCAACAAAAACAAGGCTACTCTACAAGTATATATTATGTCCAAAATCAGTCGATTCAAGAGTATGAAGCAAGCATCGTCCACCTACTCAAGAGCCATTTTATGGAAGGGCACAAAGATTAAAGGAGATGGTGTAACCTACCTACTTGAAGGAGTTCAAAAGTAAAGACTCTCCACCCACCCTCATGATGATTCAAAGGAACACAAAAAAGGAGTGCAAAGAACATATACCTCTTCAGATGAACAACATGGAAATGAAGTGCACAAGCAAGCAAAACTTAATTCCAAAGAATGAGGCTTATGCAAAACAAGAATGAAGAAGTTCCCAGCTAAAAGGAAGTCAAAAGTGTTTCTTTTTGTAGCAAGCTTCGATTTGGGGACATGTAACACCCCAATTTAGGGGCTAAATTTTATGAATTTTAAAGTATTAAATTTAATTGGTATTTTGGAGAAGAAATTGAAGATTAAATTGTAAAATTTTAAAGTTAGCATACTATTTTATAAAGTGCAGGAAATTCAGTGACTAAACTCATAATTTAGCCATTTTCCTTTATAAGAGAATTATAAGTTCTCTTCCCTCGATTGTTTTCTGCAAAATTTCCTCATTTTCCTCCTCCGGTCAATCCACTTTGAGCTCCGATCTACTCACCGTCCGGTCACCGTTCGACGAATCGAAACCACCTTCGTGTTCGTTGTCGACCGATGAACAAAACCCATCAAACCTCTCGTCGTGAATCGGCGTCGTTCGTCGTTAATTTTAATCGGAAGTATCATCAGTTTTAACTCAACTTCCGTTAGTTTTCCGTCAATTCAGTTCGATCCGGCCATCTGTTTTCGACACATCCCGCACCATCGTGTTCCTTGCATCGTTCTGAGTCCACAGGTGTCCTCCGTGTCTCCGTCGTCGTCGACGCGTGAGGGGGGTAAGGAAGTTAAAGTTTCCGACGTTTCGAAATCGAGCACTCCGCCATTCAAAATTGTGAACCGAGCTTGGTAAGTGTCTCAAAATGCCATAAAATATTTTTTATAAATTTTTCTGGAACTTTTCGGACAACGTAGCACTGTTCACGCGCCCCACGTGCCACCCCCTGCGATTGGGCTTCGTCTGGCAGCTTGGTGAACAGTTGAGCCGAGCCGCTGATCCGAGCCGAGCCAAGCCAACTAAGTCAACATGCGCTGAGTTAACACGGCTGAGCCAACTCACTGGGTCAACTCGTTGACTTTGACCGAGTCAACCTGTTGACTGTTGACTTTGACCGAGT